AAAGCATCGAGCTACTGCAGTCCAAGGAAATGTGAGCTTCAGTGTCAAATACAGAGAAACTGGGTGTTAGTGTGGTGGGGTATGGGCACAGTCTGAATGACATCAGGGACTGCATGCCTTTCAGGCTGCTCTAACAAGGTGCTATACACTGGGTGCTTTTTGCCACAGCTTGGGCTGGAAGGTGAACCGAGGGGAGCACCTGCTTTAGACACCTCTCTGGGCTTGCCCATGGCCGTCTTCTCTGCTTCTGGGTGTCATCTACCTTGGGTGAGTCTGTGTTCCAATGTCTCTAGTGGGACAGCAGTCCACTTAGACTGGTCCATTGCTGGCCAAGCCCAACAGCTTGGTTTAAACTTAATCACCTCTTCAAAGGTGCCATGTGAAAATAGTCACGTTCAGAGTTACTGGGGGTTAGGATTTCAACAGTGGAGTTTGGGGGACCTATTCAACCCCTAACAATGGCTTTAACTTTTAGGGGTGCAGAAGTCACATGAGAGGACTAGGGAGTGGGGAGTCTGCAGGTGTGGTGAAAGGAGGAAGAGTGGCTGTGACGGCGATCCAGGTGAACGGGGGGTAAACTGAGGCACACTGGAGCAGGGTCTGGGCACTAGCACACAGGCACACGCATGCATGAACCACTTGGGTCTTTGTCTCCCTTGGTTGACTTGCTAGGGCTGTGCCTCTTGGCCCAGGCTATTCTGGCTTATAAGGCAGGGAAGGTATTTTGCTCACACTCATTCTAGGCTACAGGAAGTGCTTGGATGGTGATCAATATACCCTTTTCTTTCCCTCCTGGGCTCAAAATTGACTGAATTCTAATTCAGGGAACAGATGGAGATCAACATACCAGCTCTTTGATAAGGCTGATTGGAGAATGCTGCTCACCATGTTTCTTTGAATCTAAGACGCACCACTAAGAAACATTACAGCCACTTAAGCCAGGTCTTGCCATCTGGTTGGAAGGCACATCCCAATTTCAGAGACATTAAAATGTGTGTGGCTTAAGTCTCCAATAAATGTGTGGTATGTCTAAGGCAAAGTCCATTTCTCATCATCCCCTTGACCTATACACACCACCAGGATGGCCTCCCCTGTAGAGCAGAGCTGCCCCACTCAGCTCCCTACCTGATGGAACAGAACAGACAATAAGCACCCCTTTTCTAGTGGTAAGTCTTCTTGCAGAAGCCAGGTGCCACTGGCTCAAGCAGGTTCTTCCTTCTGTCCCCAATTCCATCAAACCAGCCACATTTCCCAAGAGGAGGAGTGGGTTAGAGGTGTGGAGTATTGCTCTGCTGGTTTGTCCCAGAGAGGCATGCAGCCGGGGAACCAGGACCAGCATTAGCGGTGCCTGATCCTCAATGAAGCGTGCCTTCACTTGTGCAGTATTATTACTAGCAAGGTGTGAGATGCCAGGTGGATGTAGTGTATGGTTTAAATGGTTTCTCTGGGCAGTGAACACGATCTGGCTTTATGAGGTAATTGCCCATTCAGCCAATGCATCCAGGACATTTACTAGTGGCCTGCATTGGAAGCTTAATGCTCAGCCAATTAAAAAAAGCCAATTCTGGGTCAGGCGGGCATGGTGGCACATGCCTTTAATTTCAGCAAACTGGAGGCAGAGGCAGGTGGATCTCTGTGATATTGAAGCCAGCCTAGTCTACATAGTGAGTTCTAGGCCAGCTGTGGCTACAGGAAGACCCTGTCTCAAAAAGACTGTCCTAGTTTGTTTCTTCATTGCTGTGACAAAATATTCTGACCAATACCAACTTGGGGAGGAAAGGGTTTATTTAGCGTACATCTCCCAGGTCACAGCTCATCAGGGAGCCCAAGGTAGGAACTCAGGGCAGGAACCTGGAGCACAGGCCATGGAGGAATCTCTTACTGGCCTGCTCCCCTGGCCCCCTGCTCAGCTTGCTTTCTTATACAACACAGGCCACTACAATGGGCTGGGCCCTCCCACATCACTCAGCAATCAAGAAGGTGCCCCATGGACATGGCCACAGGCCAGTCCAATGGAGGCAATTCCCCAGTTGAGGCCTCCCTCTACCCAGGTGTGTCAAGTTGACACTAAAGCTATCCAGCACAAAGACCGAAAAAAAAAAAAAAAAAGGCAAAACAAACAGAGCTAAATCTAGGTGTTGTGGGACTGCATGGGAAGCTCTGCCCGGCCGGGTTCCTGGAAGGGATTCCTAGGGGAAACTGAGCAGTGAGCTCACAGCCTTTGGTAAGTAGTGCCTGAGCTGTTTCTGCAGGTGGTTCCTGAGCTCCTGCCCACAAGTGTGTACTCCTCTGCCATTTAAGTGCACAGGGTCCTGGGGCTACAAAGAGAAGTCAGAGACTGTTCCAGCTTGTGGATGACCTCAAGATGCCTACAGCACAGGGCAGGCAAGGGAGAGGTTTTGACCAAAATCGTTTAAGAAAAACCAGAACCAGACCAAATTTGTTTCCTCATTGCAAACACCCTACACCCTCCCAGGTGTGCTCCCTCATCCTCCCTCTCTTACCCACTCTTTTGAGCACTAGCTGGGGCACTCTGCTGAGTCAAGATGTTTACCACCGTGACCTTTGCAGCCCATGTGGTGTATATCCTTGGAGAGTCTGTTCTCTGTTGTCATGATTCTGGGCATTATTGGGTCACGAGTATTTACAGGCTCTTCTGGGAACTCTGCTGTGGAAGATGCTCACTATGCCTATCACTTGAACTTGAATCAGGAAACACCATCACAGACCCTGATGTCAACTAAGGGAATGGTGATGGCAGAGGACATGAAGTGCAGGCCACAGGCAGCGAGGGGAGAGCATGCTCTGTAGGTGAGATGACACAGGAAGGTAAAGGCTAGAGATGGTGTCTCAGCTGAAGCAAATTGGATTACTCAGTGGGGCACCTCTACTGAGTGGCCCCCAATTCTGATTGAACCTGCTCAATTAGGTCTGTCCTACCTTAAAGCAGCAAAATATGTATGTGTATGGGTATTTTCCCTGCATGTATGTAAGTGCACCCATGTTGTGCAATACCCACAGAGGTTAGGAGATGGCGTCGGATCCCCTGGAACTGGAGTTACAGATGGTTGGTAGTCACCATGTGGGCACCGGGAACTGAACCAGATCCTCTGCAGCGCTCTTTAGAGACAGGGTATTATGCAGCCCAGGCTGGCCTCAAAACTTGTTAATATAGCTAAGGATGACCTTGAACTCCAGATCCCCTTGCTTGTACCTCCCAAGTGCTGGGATTACAGGTATGTACCAGCACACCTAGAAAATTGTCTATTATAAAAACCTTGAGTATGTACTGCACTGAATTTTAGGTGTGGGCCAACAACTATCTCACTGTGTAAAGGAAAGGCAGACTTACCAGAGGGTGTGCATCAAGGCATTAGTTTTGCTTTTTAGGGGTCCTAGGGAGCACCCTGAGGATGTAAGCCCTGCATTGACATGGGACTTCCCCATCTTTGGGAGAGATAGGCCATGAATTCCCTTGAAAGGTTGTGTCTGATGCCTTGAAAGAACAATGCCTTGGTAATGTCCATTCTTTCCCAGAGATTAACTAATTCTTTGGATGAGCTAACTCTCCCTAAGGTAGCACATCTGGGATCTGTCCAGCAGGGAGTTCCTAGTAGGTTGTTTGAAATTCCAGGGGCTCTGGGGCACACAGAAGAAGCTTTTCTTAATAATGTTTTATTGTTTTTATTTTATGTGTATGCATGTAATTCCCTGCATGTAAGTGTACCCATGTCATGCAATGCCCACGGAGGACAGAAGAGGCCATCAGATCCCTTGGGACTGGAGTTACAGACAGCTGGGAATAGACGCTGGAGTTACAGGTGCTGGGAATAGAACCTGGGTCTTCTGCAAGAACAGCCAGTGTTCTTAACCACTGAGCCATCTCTCCAGTCCCCAGGAACCTATTCTTTAGTGGTGTTCTGGGGTTTCTAGAAACTACCTCAGGGGTCCTGGGGAAGGAGGACAGCAAGCTTCAATAGACCCTTCTACCCAGAGGGATGAGGGAAGTCAGGAAAAGTGATTTCAGTGGAACTGCTTTGAACTGGAAAAAGATTTGCTATGGGCCAAGGAAACTGTTCCTCACCTCTAGGTGACTATGGGCTTGGGTTGCCATACCTTATCTGTAGGCTAGCAATCTTTATGGTATCTTTCTGTTTTTAAAATAAGATGTTGGTAACTAATTTAAAATTACAAACAAGGCAAAAACAAAACAAAAATTACTGCCAAACTAACCCAGACACTTAAGGGTGTACTTGTGGGGTGGCAGTAAGATGTCTGTGACTGGTCTAGACTGTACTTTGCAATACTACCTTACAAAGCTGTTCCCTTCCTTAGCACCAAGGATGCCTTAGCTGTATACGATACATGTCCTACAACTGAGCTCATTCTGGAAGTGATGGGAGTGGAGGCCAGCATGCCAGGACAGGCTCCGGGTAGTATTGAATCCTAACTGCTCCCTGACAGCACAACAGTGCCTGAGAGGAGCAAGGGCCAGGTGTAAGCCTCAGGGGTGGCGACTAGGTTACCACCCTGTCTTCCAAATGCCATCACTGACCAGAGGCTTCTCTATGAAGTACACATGCCCAACAGCCTGAATGATCCCTGCTCTCTCCTGGAAGCACCCTCTGCCACCAGAATCCATGTGGTTCATTCAGTGTGGAGAGCTGGAGGGAGACAGAGAGCTGCCTGAGTCTCAGGACTGGAAAGTAAAGAGAAGCAGGATGGGCAGTGCCCTGCCCCTGCCCTTCCTGGCCCGGCCCCATGCTGTGGTTTACCATGATGCCCTACAGTTCATCCTCCTTAGCTCCTGGAATTAAGTGTGGGGAACATGCCTGGCCTGGGTCTTGGGGGTCCCCTTTTTCAGAGGTCAGAAGTTTCCCTACAGCAGAGGTATCCACTCTCCTGAGGAAAGCAGCTGTCCAGGGGTGCCCACTCCAGTGGCTACAGCTCCCATACTACCCAAGTGCACACAGTACAGCTAGACGCCAGGCTGCTGAGTATTGATTAAAAATCCAAACAAACCAGAATTTATTGAAAACAGCTATCTTTCAGTGGGACGAATCAGCTGAGAGATACCACTGCTCAAGAAAACAATGTGTAAAAGCTTCAGCGAGAGAATAAAACAGCTTGAAACACTTCAGCCTTAGAAGACTGAAATAATAACACAGAACATAACAAAGAGCCAGACACAAGAGAGCCGTGCCCTGAGCCTGCAGGGAGCACTCTGTTCCCAAATGCCTGGGGCACAACTCATGATTAAGGGCACAGCTCATGATTAGGGGCACAGAAGTTGCTGGAGCACAGGATCCTGCTGCTGATCCCATGTAGCTGGTCTGTGTCCTAGGCACAGGCAGAACACATGGAAAGAGGTCAGCAGACAAGTCACCCTTCTGGTGACCCCCTACGGGGCAGAATGCTTCTGCAGTCTAAGGACCTGGTGGGACCACAGGACAGCTTACAGTTACTCTGCACCAGGCACACTAAACCCTAGACTGCTGTGAGCCCTATTGTTCTCTTATCCAAATTCCTACTAACTAGAGAGGTAGAGGTAGAAGACACAGGAGCTGATCCCAAACCAATTTTTGGACTTTGATAAACAGAGACAAACACAAAGTACTGTTCCACATGTCAGAACCATTGGGCACAGCAGAAGAAAGACTGTAAGGCCCCACCAAGCACCCCACAGAAGCGGGGAGAGAGAGAGAGACGCATGTGTTCTGCCACCATGGTTGCTGCCACCGCCTGTCCTGCTCCATTGCCTTCTCATTTGTGGGTCCGTATGCTGCTGCAGATTTGGGCAAGACGGCTCTAAAAAGAGGAGACGGGCCATTTAAAGATGTCACTGGGCACACCAGTCAACTGCTTAGTTTAAAATGCACAGGTCTGAGTGAAGCTCCCCACCCCCCATTCTTTATTTGTACAGCACACTAATCAGCCTTTTGGAGATGGTTTCTCATCTGAACATCTTAAATGAGATGGTGAAGGGAGCAGCGGAGTATCTGGGCACAGTAATACTGGAGGGGGACTGTCAGATGTGTGACCTTAATACAGGTTTAGGATCCCAGCCAAACCCTTGTCCCTTCCATGGTGTATACTTCACAGATGTAGAGCAGGTTAAGCCTCCAGCGACCATGTCTGCAACTGTGTTCCCATCCATTCTCAAGATCACACCTGACCACTAGGGCCAGGAAGATCCATTGGACCAGAGCTTTTCTTCTTGAGAATTTAAACTATGAAAATGGCAAAGTGTTGGCATTGGAATAATAAAGTCAGAGCTGGGCTGGGGCTCTACAAAGTCCACAGGCCAATGTCAAGGGAAAGCAGAACCCGAAAGCTTAGAGAGGGCGATGTGCTGAGATGCACAGGAGAAATGAGTGCTCAGGCTCCAGAGCAGAGAGGTGCTCAGGACAGGGCAGGGAAAGTCCACGAACTCTCACGGCTGGAGGTGCTGAGCTCTTTTCTGGATTCTATAAGACTCTAAACATGCCCCTCCTCTCTTTGACTGTTAGGGAGTTTTGGTTCCTGGCAGTGAGTGGGGTCATAGTATGCCCTGGCATCACCTGCCTGGGTAAGGTGAACTTCCACTTTGCTATGGAACTTCACTGGCAAGCAGTTTGGGAGAGATCAAAACTCAACATCAACTTAGGAGCAGAACCACTGCTGTGTAAGTAAGATAAAACCCCTGTGGGAAAGAAGGCAACATGATTCTAAGAATCAACTATTAGCTCAGACCCAAAACACAGTCCTAGAGAAAGTTAAACTAAGAAAGCCTCCAGAGGCTTCTGAATATGGAAGTAAGTCAGAGACTTACTGAGAGCTTCTTAATGTTTCCTAAGGCCTCTGGATCCAGCTGTGCAATGTCGACCCTCCGCAAATCACTCGCTAGCAACCGCATGCTCTGTAAGGAGGGAGGAGGGGTTAAATGGCATGTCTTTCTAGACAGGAACCTCCACCCAGCAGCCAGTGTGCCCAGGGTCCCCTTGACACCCTGTGCATGGTGAGAGGGTATAGCTAGTATAAAGTAATAGTAAGGTAGCTGGGGGGGGGCGGTAATCAGACCTGAGAACACACTAACACCATGAGAGCTGTCACTGGGCCACTGGCTGTATCTCCCGGCACAATGCCACAGAGAGCACATCTGAGATGGATCACGCTTTCCTTACAGAGACTGAGCAGGTTACTCTCTTTTTGCAGCCCAGATGAACCAGGCCAGCTTGTTTCAGAATCTCTCAGTGCTCAGGAGCTGGAGGTACAGCTCATGCTGCCGTCTAGATGAAGTGGGACCCCAGCAGTGCCTTCCTCTGCACGCCTTCTAATATCCCTGTTATTGCACACATCACAGATGTTAACACTGGAGCCCATCTTAGCCAGAGCTGCTTCTCAGGGGCAGGAACACTAACTCCTATGTGAGCTGTCAGCAGGGGGCAGATGACAGCTGGGGCTGACAGAACCCAGGGATGGGTGGGGGTCTTCCCAGTCTGGACCTCGACCCTGGGAAAGAGAATTGGGTTCTGTGCTGAGGAAGTATGGTAGTTAGGACCCACCCCACTGAAGGGACTCTTATGGGGTGGGAAGATGACAGCTCAGGGAAGAAAGAAGTTTCACCCAGCAACCAACTGACTGGTGCCTGGCTTCCAAGGGTGACACTTACCGCACCACCGCCCATAGGCACGGTGAGGGAGATCTCGTTGCTGTCAGCCAGAGGGCTGCCATTGACCGATATGTTGTAGATCTGCTCTCTGGCTGCTGGAGTGCGCAGGCCTGGGGTCTTGAAGACCCTACAAAGTGGAAAACTCTGAAGACGGCTTGGAAGACTGAATAACGACAGCCAAACGACAAGCCCTGCCAACCCCCATCTGGTCTCAAGCTGTAGTTTTCAAATCACACATTTCTAAGAAGGCAAGTTCTAAATTTAGGGAAAACATTTTTTAAGCTGTAATGACTAAACACAGCTGGAGAAAGGAGGTTGTAATTATCAAACATACATCTAGTGAAAGTCAACTTTCACCCATGCAAATTTTAGGGCCAAAGCTCCGTATGGTTGCCTACCATCCACCCATCCAGAGCCAGAAATAAACTGGTTAATGTGCTTCCAAGAGTGGCTAAGTGCTTCCATCAGGAGGAAGTTTCCAGGGTCAGAGGAGGATTCAGAGATTACATCATGCTAGTCCCCAGACCAACCTTCTCAAGACAGAATGCTGTTACCCATTTCCTTCAAAATGGCTTTGGCTACATGCTCAGGTGAAAAACTGTGGAGTGGGAATTAAAAGTGCAAAGTCTTCTTCACCCCAGAGATCACCACTTTTTGCACTACTCTACAGAGGTAGCCAGTCTTAATTTCTCACTTTCCAGAAAATTTCTACACACAAAACCAAGATGCTCAAGCAGTACAAACTGGTCAGCAACCTGCTCCAAGCTGCTACAACAATGAAACTCTTCCCTTGGAGCAAACATCTCCACTATTTCTTTTTGAGACAGGGTCTCAAGTAGCCCAGGCTGGCCTCCAACTTGTTAGGCAACCAAGGATGACTTTGAACTTCCAGTCTTCCTGCCTCTACCTCCTAAGGGTGGGGATTACCACCACCATTCTTTCCTAGGGACTACACAGCATTTCCTACTTGACCAGCTAGCCCCCAGGGAAGATATTAACTTCCCTGTGAACAGTCCTGTTATGTTGCTCTCCTAAAAGGTCTATCATTTTCTTCCTACCAAGAGTATAGGAATAAGCAACTACTCATCTTTAAATAACTTCTACTAGAGTAAGAGAAGGCAGAAAGCAAGGCCTCCTAATCATCTCATGCTGAACACGCTCCTCCTTTTCATAGCAATTGTTTCACCACTGAAAATGGGTGAGCGTGCACTCAAGGGAAAGGGAAACACCGGGAAGCTCAGACAGCTACTGAGACTGAGGTGTCCCAGGCTAAGGCTCAGGAGCATCACATACACACTCCTTCTGAGTGCTACTCACTGCTGGGCTCCTACCCAAATCCAAGTTCGGCTTTCAGTACTCACCTGGAGTCAAACCTGGGTGTCATGCCTGGGGTTGGTTTTACCAAAGACATCTCCAGTCTGCTCAAAGCTGGTGTTACAAAGCTGTCATGGCTTAACCTACAGGTAAGAAATAGCTATGAGGTGTGTCAAGTCATAGGTGCAGTGACATCACAGCCACAGAGGCAAGCAATATGTCAGATACTGCCCTGCACCCCTTAAGTTATGTGACCCTCCATGTCACTCTGGTGGGTGAGTACTGTTTGTAACTTCATTTATGGCTGCCGAAGCTCAGGTACACAAGTTTCAAGAACGTTTCCAAGAACACACAGCTAACTAGGAGCCAGACTGAACCCAGCAGTCTGCTGGCAGCAAGCAATTTCCCAGCCAGGTGGAAGGGGCAGCCTCTTAATAATGCAAAGGCTCCTTGGCACAACTCTGTTCTTTCCCAAGACACCTAGCTCAAGTCTTGTGGTCTCTGCCAGGGAAAGGCAGGCCTAATCTTCAGAGACGTGCAGCCCAAGGCCTACTTCCCTATTTATTTTTCTTTTCCCCCAGAAGGGTTTACAGTAGAATTTGGCATAATCAGTTTGAATCCATGGAGATTCTTTACTTATAGGGACTAGTAGGAACATTTCAAGAAACATGATGGCTCAGTGGTGAGGAGCACTTTCTGCTCTTCCACAGGACCCAAGTTCGTTTCAGTCAGTACTCACAACTGCATGCAACTCCAGCTCCAGATCTTATGCCCTCTTCTGGGTGTACCCACTAACATGTGAGAGACACACACACACACACACACACAAAGAGTCAGTGAGACGCCTCAGCTGGTGGAGGTGCCCGCCACCAAGCCTGATTACATGAATTTGATACTTTTTTGGTCCCCACTGTCCATTTGTGCTTCAAAAGGGTCACTGGACATGGTAGCACAGGCCTTTAATCCCAGCACTCGGGAGGCAGAGGCAGGCCAATCTCTGTGAGTTCAAGGCCACCCTAGTCTATATGATGAGTTCCAGGTCAGCTGGAACTACAGGGAGACCCTGTCTCAAAAAGACAAAAAAAAAGAGAAAGTGATTAAGAGTGAAGGTAGAGAATGGAAGCAGAACTAGAGAAGGTGAGAGGGTGCTGGCTTAGCACACTTCAGAGGACACTGAAGAACATATGACTTTAAGTGCTTGAACACCAGCCACCAAGGCCTTTTATTTCCTTTAATTAAAAAAAAAGTGTGGGGCTAGAGCAATAGTTCCAGGGGACTGACACCTTCTTCTTGCCTCCCCAAGGGTACCACATATAACATACATTCACACAGACACACAATACACTAAATAAACATTAAAAAATTTTCATGTGAACTAGGTGTGGTGGTGCATGCCTTTAATCCCAGCACTCAGGAGGTAGAACTCTGTGAGTTCAAAGTCAGCCCGGTCTACATAGTGAGTTCCAGGGCTACAGGGAGACTCTGTCTCAAAAAGACCCCCCCGCCAAAAAATGTGTGTATATGTGTGTGAGAGCAGGTAGGTATACGTGTGTGGAGGTCAGAGGACAAATTCCAGTGTCATTCTGAGGAATGCTTTTGACCGCCTTTGAAACAGGGACCATCACTGGCTTGGAGCTCACCAGGTAGGCTAAGACTGGTTGGTTAGTGAGTCCAAGGATCTGCCTCTTTCTATCTTCCCAGCATTGGGATTACAAGAATGCACCACCACATTTGGCAGTAAATATTTAGAAAATTTTATTCATTATTGTTATTATTTTGTGTGTGTGTGTGTGTGTGTGTGTGTGTGTGTGTGTGTGGTGCATGTGGACCACAGTATGTATGTGGAGGTCAAAGGACAATATTTAAGAGTCAGTTCTCTCCTTCCACCATGGGATCAGACTCAGGCACCTTTACCTGCTGAGCCACCTTGCTCAGTATTTTTTTAAAGGGTTCTAGGGCTCTAACTCAGGTCCTCATGAGCTATCTCCTCAGTTCCTAAAACCCTCTTTGCCTCTGCATCTGCAATGTTGAATGTTGTCCTCCAACAAAGGCAAAGCCACAAATCAACCTTTTGAAAACCAATACCTTTTGCTTTTCCCTCTTCCTTGTACGGACTGGGTTCTCTTCTTGGATGGAGGACACCTTTTGACCTAAAGGTATAATCAAACAAGTAAGAAGATAAAAAAGGAGGGGAAAGGGCATGAGCTTTAGAAAAGAAATTTAATACTGAATATAAGTAGGTTCATCTCAGTTGGGCATGATGGCACATGCTTGTAATCCTAACACTTGTAAGGCTGAGGCAGGAGGACAGCAAGTTCAAGGCTAGCTTGAGCTACACAATGAGACTGTGTCAAAAACCAAACCCAACAAACATACACAAAGAAGGGCCACTCAGTGATTAAAATATACAAAACCTGAAGACTTCTGTCAGCTCAGTCTTCAATATAGACTAGGCCAAAAGATAAATTTCTTTTTCTCTGTATGTGTATGTGCAGGGTACATGTGGCCATGCACATGCACATGGAGGCCACAGGTTGACACTGGGTGTCTTTCTCCAGTGTATTCTACCTTACTGTTTGAGACAGCCTCTCCCATTGAACATAGAGCTCACTGATTGACTAGACTGGCTGGTCAGCGAGCCCCAAGAATCCTTCTGTCTTTATCTACCAGTGTAGGGATTATTGGTACACACACCCAATGTCTGGCTTTTTATTTTTATGTGGGTGCTGGGGATCTGAACTCAAACCTTCATGCTTGTGCAGTAAGTACTTTACCCATGGAGCCTCCTACCCCCAGCCCCTAAAGTTAAATCTCTTTTGAACTGATTGTATCCTGGCTTGTTCCCACTACTTTCCTTAAAAAAAATGCTACTGTAGGGGTCACTCAGGGCATCTCAGGTGCCCTGTCCAGCGAATCCTCTGCAGTCTTCCTCTTGCTGAGCCCTGGGGGTACCTGACAAGAGACACTATTTACTTCTGGCAGTTCTCTTCCTCTGCTTCTCCCGCATGCCTCTGCTGTCCTCCCTTTCCAGCTGTCTCATGGGAGCTGGCCTCAGGAGTTCCCTCCCACTTTTCATCCAGTGCCCATCTACAGCTTTCCTTCCTACCTGCTCTCCAGCAGTCTTCCCATCCCCACCAAGGAATGAGTGTATAAAGACACAGGGGTCAGCATGTGTCTTATCTCTCCGTCTTGCTGAACACAGGCTAAAATCCCATCTAGCCTAGATGCCTTGAAAAGTACTTAAGAACTTAGCAGGTCAGACAAGTGCTTCCCATCATCCTAACTGGATGCTGTCTCCTGGGCCCTACACTTCACTGGATGGCAGCTGCCTAATCTAGAAACCATTCATCTCTGGTTTCTCCTTTCTCAGAGCAATCACACCCATTCTCCTCTATAGAACTTCTCTCAAAACAATCCCTAATTTTTTCAATAGGTATTACACTTTTATTCATCCTGACTGGGTTCCTTGTCTTCTTTGACCCTCTTCCGTGTATTCTGAATACTGTTTTGAAATATTGACCTGGTGTCATTTAGCATTACCTAGCTGACAGAATGGAAACTTAAGCCGGGCACAGTAGGCCATCCATCATCTGGTTTCTGTTCTCCCTCTACTGTTGCCACCACTTACATCCTAGCAATAACAACCACATCCTGCTCCTTAGATACTTTCTTGGCTTGTCCTGAACTTTTTCACTTTCTGCTTCAGCTGGTAGAACCTCACTCACTTTCAAAGAACTGGCTGTGTACTAACAGGGTAGAGAAGGCTTACTAGCTCCCTCTTCTGAGTCAACAGTGACATTTGTTATCTGCCACCTAAGTGGAATCTTTTAGTGAATCCTGAGCTCTGCCAAGGCAACACTGTATTCCACACATTTCTGTATTTGCTATCTCCTGTCAGCCCTTATCCCCTTAGCTTGAATTCCTACTTACTCTTGTAGATCGAAGATTCTTAAGCTTATTTTCTTCATCTTCTTCTTCTTCTGCTATAATTTCATCCACTTGTATTACCTTTCGCTCTATAAGGAACAGTTTTAAGAGTGTTATTTCTGATGGGAATAAACTTTCACGGGCTTGCGTGTTTTTATAAGGAATGAAAATTTCTTAGGCTGTAGTCAAGTAGACTCAACATAAAAAGCTTGATATATATTTTCAGTGTAGTACTGAGATCAAACTCAAAGCTTCGTATATACTAGGCAAGTGCTCTAAAACTGAATCACACCCCTAGGCCAGGTGATCTTTTTAAAAAGAGGGTTTTAAAGTTGGGCGTGGTGTAATCCCAGCACTTGGGAGGCAGAGGCAGGCAGATCTCTGTGAGATGGAGGCCAGCCTGATCTACATAGTGAGTTCCAGGCCAGCTAGGCGCTATAGGGAGACCCTGTCTCAAAACAAAAACAAATAGAGTTTCAGCTATACATAGTTGTGTTCTAGACTAGCTGGGCTACAGGGAGACCATGTCTCAAAAACAAAGAGTGGGGCTGGAGAGATGGCTCACCAGTTAAAAGCATTGGCTGCTCTTTCAGAGGTCCAGGGTTTGATTCCCAGCATGCACATGGTAGGTAACAACCATTCCTAATTCCAGTTCCAGAAGATCTGATAACCTCTTCTGACCTCCATGGGCATTGCATGAATCAGTGCACTTACATATATGCAAATAATACATTCATACACATAAAATAAAAAAAAAAATAAATATTTTTTAAAAATCAAAGAGGGTGAGGTTGGAGAGATGGCTCAGCAGTCAAGAGTACTGGCTGTTCTTGCAGAAAACCCAGGTTCAAATCCCAGCACCCACATGGTGGTTAACAACTGTCTGTAACTCCAGTTTCAGGGGATCTGACGCCCTCTTCTGTCCTCTGAGGGCACTGCATGATATGGGTGCACTTACACACATGCAGGCAACACACTCAAACATGTAAAATAAAAAACAATAAATAAAATATTTTTTAAAAGTCAAAGAGGGTTTAAACAAAGGGAAATAATCAGAGTGGTAAAGAAACTGTATATAAAGCCAGGCATGGTGGTACACACCTTTAATAGCAGCATTTAAGAGACAGAGATAGACAGATCTCTGTGAGTTCAAGGCCAGCCTGGTCTACATAGTGAGTTCTAGGCCATCTGGGGCCACAGAGAAACCCTGTCAAAAAAAAAGACACCATATATAATATTATTGTGGGGCTAGCCCAGCATTCTGATTAAGACAGACTTGAGCTAGGAGTGGTGGTGCATACCTATAATGCCAGCACTTGGGAGGCTAAAACACAAGAATTCCATGTTTGAGGCCAATTGCTGCCCCTGTACAAGGACGTTATGAGACTTGTAACATGTACTCTAAAGGAACAGGGTTTTTAAATTTCTGTATCCTCGAGCCCTTGAATTCTGCTTTTAAGTATTATTTATGCAAGAATGCACATAAGGCTCACTGGACAGTATGAAACACAAGTTACATGTCTTATTTATTGCTATTTATAAACAATAAAATTACTGTTACAACTATTATCTTAGGAGGAACAAGGAGTAAGAGAGATGTTTAAGCTGAAAGATTCCAGAGGAAATAACGAATTTTCATATTTAAGGGGCTCTGGCATGGCCTCTACAGAACAGAACTACTACAGATGATACAGATACTATAAGGAAACACTGCTTCAATTTTACAAAGAGATGATGAGATGGCTCAGCAGTTAAATGTGTTTTCTGCTCTTCCAGAGGACTCCAGTTTGGTTCTCAGCACTCACATCAGATGGCACACAATTACCTGTACACCAGCTCCAGGGGATCTGATGCCCCTTTCTGGCCTCCATGGGCACATGCACAGGTAGCATTTATTCAGACACACAGAGACATATTAAAAAAAATCAGAGGGGATTGCCAGGAGTCGTGACATACACCTGTAATCTCAGCACTTGGGAGGTAGAAGAAGGAGGATCAAGTCAGTGTTTGCTACATAAGCAAGTTCAAGGTCAGCCCGGTCTATATGACACCCTGACTAAAAAGAATCAAAACAAAAAAATTAGAAGTTTCTAGCCATCACAGTTGTGCAGTGATGAATGGCAGAGTGTCTCACTGCTAAATATGTACAATCCTGAGCAGGGTATATAGAAAAAAAAACAGGTATTTAGTCATGGGGGTGGGGATCAGACTGAAGGACTATAAGTTTTTTTGTTAGTTGTAATCCTGCACATCAAATCCTTGCTGAGGCAAGGTCATGTGGCCCAGGCTGGCCTCAAATATACTATGTAGCTGAGGCTGAGCTTGAACTACTGATCCTCTTGCCTCCACCTTCCAAGTGCTGGGATGATAGTTGCCACCACACATGTTTGTTTTTCTTTTTTTTTTTTTTAAACATTTTATTTTATTGTATATGAGTGTCTGCCTGCACGTGTCTAAGTGCACTCGTGTCCTGCAATGCCCATGGAGGTCAGAAGAAGGTGTTGGAGTCCCTGGAACAGGAGTTAAGGACAGTTGTTAGCTGCCATGTGAATGCTGGGAATCGAATCCAGGTCCTCTGCAAGAGTAGTCAGGGCCCTTAACTATTGAGCCATGTGGTTCAAGTTCATGGTCAAAACGTTATAAAATCATTTTCAAATGCTAGTTGATAATGGACCTCATGTATTCAGTTCTAAGGCATGAAATCACAAGATACAGTCCCATCTGATCACCATGAACTAGGCAAGCCTATGGAGCTTAGAAGAGAAACTGGTATTACTCAAGTATATAAATGACACAAAAGCAGGGCTGGAGAGAGGGCTCAGCGGTTAACAACACTGGTTGTTCTTGCAGAAGGCCCAGGTTCGAATCTCAGCACCCACATGGCAGCTAACAACTGTCCATAACTCCAGTTCCAGGGGATCCAACGGCCTCTTCTGACCTCCGTGGGCACTGCACGACACGGTGCACTTACCTACATGTAGGCAATACACGCATACACATAAAGTAAAAATAATAAATAAAATTTAAAAAAAATGAAACAAAAGCGATCTAACAGACTTAGCATGGAGCTTAGGAACACTCAAGTCCAATTCCGTCTTAAGGTCAGTTAGACAAAAACCTCACCATGTGTGAGGCTCCAAACTGTCCTTAACTCCATTCCAGGGGAATCTGAAGCCACCTTCTAACCTCTGTGGCACTGCACGACATGGGTGAACTCACACACATGCAGACAATACACTTGTACACATAAAATAAAAATTAAAAAATATTTTTTAAAAAAAGTCAACAATTCCGTCTTAAGGTCAGTTAGACAAAAACCTCACCATGTGTGAGGCTCCAAACTGTCCTTAACTCCATTCCAGGGGAATCTGAAGCCACCTTCTAACCTCTGTGGCACTGCACGACATGGGTGAACTCACACACATGCAGACAATACACTTGTACACATAAAATAAAAATTAAAAAATATTTTTTAAAAAAAGTCAAGCAGCCAGGCGTGGTGGTGCACGCCTTTAATCCCAGCACTTGGGAGGCAGAGGCAGGTGGATCCTCTGTTATTTTGATATATCACAGTGAAAGATTTATCGTCCTCTTTTTTTTTTTTTTTTTTTTTTTTTTTTTAAAAAAAAAAAAAAAAAAAAAAAAAAAAAAAAAAAAGTTAAGCAACAAAACAACAGTGCTTCCCACAGAGTGGGGCATAAAGTAAGATGATTCACACAGAAAGATCACTGAACTAAGTCACAGGGACTTCATACTGAGAAAGGTATTTCTTCTGCAGTTCTCTTCAGGTCAGCTGATGAGCCCTAAAACTTGTTTCACCCAGGAGAAAGTGAGTAGGCAGCAAGGCTTTTTTCCAGCACAGCCTTCCCCCTCCTTTCACTCAGCTTAGTTCACACAGCAGTCTTGGAGACTGGGTTGGTGTCAGTCTTGCATACAATTCACTGAATGTAGTGGCTAAAATCAAATTTTTGTTCTTACAGATTAAGAACCAGACATTCTTGGAAGAGAGAGGAACACCAATGAGGCCTGGCCTGGGTGGCCATCAAAGCTCTTTGGACCTCAGCTCCCTGTTGAATAGGAAGGAGTGTTGGAAAGCACTCATACCAGACATGCTGGCACGGGCCGGCAACCCTAGCACTGAGGGAGGAAGATAGCAAGTTCCAGGCTCATTTGGGCTGCAGTGAGATTCTATCTCAAAAAAACATTAAAGGCCTAGGCTGATAGCTCAGCACAAACTGCTTGCCATGCAAGTGTGAGGACCCAGGTAAAAGGCCACCTGCAATCCCGGCCTTCAGGTGCAAAGACAGGATGGGGCAAGCTGGCTAGCCAGACTAGCTCAATTGGCAAGCTCTAAGTTCAGCAAGAGACTGCCTCAGCAGAAGTGGAGCTCATGCAAGGAAGACACCCAATGTCAACCTCTGGCTTCTACACCCATATGCACCCACATATATGACCATAAACAGACACACACATCATAAACACATGTACACCAAAAAATGTTTTTAAAATCTTACTGTTTTTTTTTTTGTTGTTTTTTTTTTTGAGACAGGGTCTCCCTGCAGCCCTAGCTGTCCTGGAACTCACTATGTAGACCAGGTTGGCCTTGAACTCACAGAGATCCACCTGCCTCTGCATCCCAAGTGCTGGGATTAAAGGCGTAAAACAATTTTATTGTTTTTAAATTATGTGTATAAATGTGTGTCTGTGTGTGCGTTTGTGCATGTGCACATAGTGCTGGAGTTATAGGCTGCTGTGAGCTGAGCTGCCTAGACATGGGTGCTGATTGAACCCAGATCCTCGGAAGAGCACCATGTGTTCTTAACCACCGAGCCATCTCTCCAGCCCTTCAAAAACAATTTTTTAAAGAAAAAAAAAAAAAACACAAAAAACCCAAGTACTCACTTTTGGCAGATTTCAGAGGCGTCTGAATAGCTTCTGCTGTTAATTTGTTTATTTCTGTGATATCCACATCGGCCTGTGACAAATAGAAAGTACCAGGCTTAGTTCATCATGTGTAGGAAACAGTAAATTAAGATTTAAATCAACTTTAAAACTTTAATTTGTATATGACAAGATTATTAGATGTTAGTTACAATATGGCGAACATCTATAAACCACCATACCACCCACGACCTAGGACATAACTAGCTTCCAGCTTGGTATTCTTTATCCATTCTACTTACTTCTCTCTCCTCAGAAGTAAGTCACTATTACCCCATTTGCTAAACAGAAAGTTTATAGCCAGGCATGGTGGTGCATGCCTTTAATCCCAGCACTTGGGAGGTAGAGGCAGGCAAATCTCTCTGAGATGGAGGCCAGCCTGGCCTACATAGCTAGTTCTAGGTTAGCCAGGGCAACAGGGAGACCCTGTCTCGAAAAAAAAAAAAAAAGGAGAAAGTTTATGGATATATGACTTGCTCATATACACCTTCGTTTATATGTATACAGATACACAAGCTTTTTCACGATATGAAAAATGCTTTTTAAGAGCTGGATGTGGTGGTGCATGCCATTTTTTTTTTTTTTTTTTGGTCTTTTTGAGACATGGTCTCCCTGTAGCCCCAGCTGTCCTGGATTCACTATGGAGACCAGGCTGGCCTCAAACTCACAGATTCACCTGCCTCTGCCTCCCCGAGTGCTAGGATTAAAGGCATGTGCCACTATGGATGCCTTTAATCCCAGGCTGCAGAAGCAGGTGGATCTCTGTGAGATCGAGGCCAGCCTGGTCTACATACTTTTTCAGTTTTACTTGTGTTTTGGTGATGTTTGTTTTGTTTTAGAGACAGGTTTTTCCGCTATAGCCCAGGCTACCCTAGAACTTTATGAGGCTGGCCTCAAACTCAAGGATCCTTTTGCCTAAGCCCCAAATGCTAGTATTACAGAGGCATTCCACCACATGCAGCTATTTTTGCTCGTTTATTTTGGCCACTATTTATGACTGTGGTTAATTTGTTTTCATTGCTATATAATATCCCATTGTATGGTATCACAGATTTTTACATTGCTATGTTAAGTTTTTCACTATTAAAATCACAACTACTTTGAACTCTCATGCATGTATTTGAAACACTTAAGAATTCAAGTTTTCTTTGGCTATATACTCAGGCTTAATGTTTTGTTAAGATAGGGTCTCAGGTAATCCAGGTTGGCCAGGAACTGATTAAGGCTGAAGGTAACCTTGAACATCTGATCCTCCTGCTGTCCTCTGTAACCCTGGGATTGCAGGCCTGTGTGCCACCAGCCCAGGGGTACTGGGGATGGAACTCAGGCCTTCTGGTGTGCAAAGTCAGTACTCCAGCCACTGAGATAAATCCTTAGCACCACTAACACTCTTGGCTATATACTTAGGAAGGACAGAATGTTACAGAGTCATATATCTTTTAAGTACCAGCCTTGATATCATGGCAAACTGTTTCCCAAAGTGGTTGTACTTTATACATCTCATCTGTAAGCACCAGCTCCTAATGAGCAACCTCCCTTAATACTGTTTTAATACTCCCTTATGCTTTATCAGACTTCCCAATTTTTTGGTAAATCCACAGGGTCTCCTAGACATGGTGGCACATGCCTATTTCTCAGCAGGAAGATCAAAAATTCTAGCCAGTCTGTGCTGCATAGCGAGATCTCTTAAAACAAAACAAACCAAAAACCACTCAAACAACTAAACACAGCTGGGCATGGTAGCGCATGCCTTTAATTCTAGCACTTAGGAGGCAGAGACAGGCAGATCTCTATGAGATCAAAGATAACCTGGTCTACATATCGAATTCCAGGCCAGCCAGGGCCACAGGGAGACTATCTCAAAAAACAAAAACTTTAGGATCAAAGTATCATTTCTTCCTGGTGTTTCAAATCATATTAGTGGAAGTTGGAATTCTCCCAATTTAGTGTGCTAATACTTGGATCTCTCATTTATATCAGGAGGCTTTATTTGCAGTTCTGTATTTCTGACTAATTTAAAATGAGGATGATGTATTAGCTAATGAGTATGATTCATCTAGAGTGTTTTGAAACATGAGATGTGGGTCTTTGCAGGGGAAGAGTAAAATGAGTCATGGGAACTTATAATGAAAAAGAAAGCCTGGACAAAGCCTGCTTTAGTAGCTCTTGACTTTTCTTTGCATATTCCCACTGTTACATAATCATCCCAAACTCTTCTTTTCCCTAACTCAACAACTGCCTCCTAATTACCTTTAACTTCTAAAGTTGATGGATGTCTGCTACTCAGTGAGATTATGAACCCTTGTAGTTGTGTTCCTTTAAACCCAAGATTCCAACTAATTATGAGAACTCACACAAATTACCAGCAAAAAGTATCGCTTCTAGAGTATGGCATGGTAAAGCCAGTCTCTATGTCTCCTGGCAGGCTGGGTCATGACCTAATAACCCACAGATTTAAAGGAACATAAGCCTTAAGGTTTTCTACTTCCTTTGCAAAGTCCAGGGCAAAGGACAAGGAACCTGTCAAAATGGAACTGCTTCCCTCTGACAATTTAGGAAAGACAAATTAACCCACTCTGATGATATTCTGCACAACGTAGAACACATCTGTGATCAAATGTGTGTGGGCTTTCCCCCAAACCAAGCCAGGGATCCTACCGTGGCCATCACTAATCAACTCTGATACTATCTCTGTGAGAATAGCAGCTTATCCTGGGGAACGCCCTCATTACCCCACATTGATTTTGATCTACTTGCTACAAACAGGGTCTCACACTGCCTGCATCTTGAGCTGCTCTCAACTCAGGGAGACATTTACATACATTTGCCAACTTTTTTTTTTAATTTTATTTTTTACATTTTTATTTGTGTGTATGTATTTGGGAGATGGAGGCCAGCCTTTTCTGTGTAGCAAGTTGCCAGCCAGCTGGGGCTACAGAGATGCTGTCTCAGTAACAGTAATAGTAATAATCATTAGTCTGTACATATTTAGTATGGATACAATTTATTTTTTTTCTGATTCGCAGTTTGTTACATTCCCCAGGTGAGAAACTCACAGATGGATGTGAGGGGGACTCAATCACACAGTTTTTTTGAGAACTGAGATCTATTTGGGCTTCCTACATTTGGTGTTTATAAGTTTCCAGTTGACACAGAATACCCTCTCCTCTGATGAAAGCTTTTCTTCTGTTTTTATATTTTTATTATTTTTATGTTATATGTATGAGTGTATTGTCTGCATGTGTTAGTGTACTCATGCTGTGCAAGCCCAAGGACGTCAGAAGATGGCATCAGATTCCCCTGGAACTGGGGCCACAGATGATTGTTAGCTGCCGTGTGGGTGCTGAGAATCAAACCCAGGTCCTCTGCAAGAGCAGCCAGTCCTCCCAACTGCTGAGTCAACTCTCCAGCCCCAATGAAACTTTTCTACAGCATGCACCCAACAGTTGGATTTTATGACCGAATTAAATTTACAAACTAACCAGCTCAAAAACAAGATGGGTCACTTACCGTTGCTGCCTCTTCCAGGGCCTGCTTGTTTCCTCCAAGGGCTTTAAAAAGAATATGGTATTTAGTTATTATCAGGTTTGCAGAATACATAACCTTTCCTAATACTAATTATCTTTCTCAGACTGGACCACTTAAGTCCTCCATCCAGTGCAGACTTTTACAACGTAATCTTTCTTCAAGTTTGACTACTCCTGGTTGTAACCTATTTATTCTATCAAAGTTCTTTTGTTTCCCAAATGTGCCACTGTCCCTCACAACTCAGTGCTCTGGTACTGAGTATTTCTTCTGGTTAAAATACTTCTATGTAGAGCTGGAGAGATAGCTGAGCGATTAAGAGCACTTACTGCTCTTGCAGAGGACTCAGGTTCAGTTCCCAGCACCCATATGGTGACTAACAACTATCCAAAACTCCAGTTCCAGGGATCCAACATACCTCCTCGAGCACCAGGCATGTACATGGTGCACTTACATACATTCAGGCAAAACTCTCATACACATGAAATAATACTAAAAATCTTATAAATCCTTATAGGTACTTCCAAAACTCTGCTTCTGTTTCTATCATAGTAGGTTGCTGCAAACTGTAAGCAAATAATACATAAGTAAACTGCACAGTAAACCACTGAGTTGCTTCTACACAAGTCCAACAACTACTGAAAAGCTACTTAGAAACCAGCCTTGGTGGTGCACAGCTTTAATCCCAGTGCTGAGGAGGCAGAGGCAGGTAGATCTCTTTGAGGCCAGCCTGGTCTACATATTGAGTTCCAGGCCAGTCAGGGATACATAGTAAGACTGAGCAGTAGGGCGGTATTAGATCAGACACTCTAGCTGCCTCTGGCTCTCCCAGAAATTGGGTCACACCCCCCTGCAGTCTCGCTCTGGACAAGTGTGTTGTGCTGTGTGTGACCTTGAGGTTCTCTCTTACTTCTTAGAGCTGTAGGATAACTTCATGATCCTACCCAGTGCCTAAGGCTTGCCTATTTGAACACTCCCACTTCCAGAAGGCCTGTCAGAAACCCCCTCTGTACTCTGGAATTGAAGTCTCTCTCCCTCTCCCTTCAAGACCCCATCACACCGCTTCTGGTATAGTATTTCTCCCAATGCTTTCCTACTCGAAGGAGGATCATGACTACCCCAGGTCGTGAGACTCCCTAATAAAGCTCACCTGAAGGGTAATTCATGTTCGCTTCCTGTCTATAAGTTGTAACAGGTGGCAATTTTCCATCAGAGGTCATGGTAGACCTCATCAGGAAGGCATCTGAACGAGTCCTTCCCAAGAGCTCTTACCGAAGTAGTCGAGCCAGTTCATCTCGCGCAGCGCCTTGGGGAGCCGAAGGATCTCGATGTTGTAGAGGTTCTCCACCTCTTTGAGGAGGTTCTGTCTGTCGGACTCGATTTGCTTGGTGCGTACTTGCACTGCGAGAGGTCGAGGGCGAAGGGTCCCGGGTCAGCAGGCGGGTGAATCTACCCCCCCACCCCCACCCCCGCGTCCTACCCCGCTGGAGCCCCGCGAAGCCGCCGCTTACCTTCGCGGTCGAAGTCCTTCAGGAAGGAGACGAGCTTCCGGCTCCGCAGCGAGTTGGTCTTGGTTCTGCGGCTGCTACCCTTCCTGGGAGCCATGGCGCCGGGGTGCGGGCTGAGCGGACCGAGCCCCGGGGTGAGCAGCGCCGGCGGGGAGCGGGGACGTGAGGGATGGCGGAGCGGCGGAAGGGAACCGTCCTCGGGGACTTGGATGCCAAGAAACCACCAGACACGTACCTGCGGGCCCCGAAACACGCAGAGGAAACCAAACAGCTCCAGCTGAGAGATCGCAACTCAGTGGCTAACCGCCACCCAATTCAAACACAACGGACAGGGGCTGACCAATGAGAAACCGCCATCTTAGGACCGGTCCCACGACAGCCAATCACAGCGAAGTTCTCCACTTGCCGGCACGCCTCATAGAGGACTACAACGCCCAGAAACCATCGCGTTCTGACCCCATCTTTTCACGACTTCGGCGTCGCGCTAAGCGGAGGTGGAAGTAGAAGCAGCCGCTTTTGAGCATGCGCACAGCCCAATGCGGTGTGGGACTTGGTGTGTTCTTTGACTGGTCCGGGTTTAAGTTTTCCTGCTGGTTAGGGAGCAGTTGGCAGTCTCAGAAGCACGGATCCGAGGGGAGACAGGCCTTGTTCAGGAAAAGCCCCTTCGAAGGACGGCCAGGACCCCCCATCCCAAGGTGAGAAGCAAGGGTCCTTCCTACCGAGAGTCGATCCGAAGAACGTCGGAGTAGGAGCGGTGACACGGCAGAGGCACAGCTTCGCCCTGCCACCTGCAGCAGCCTGAGGTGTTCTCTAAGCTTTCAGAGACCGAGACCGAGAGTCAGACCAAAGCGGGCTTGCTGTGAAACAGAGTTGGAGATTTTTTATTAAAGTTGTTTTTGAGACAGGGTCCCCCTATGCAGCCCTGGCTAGCCCGGGACTCTCTGTGTCCCAAGTGTTGGGATTAAAGACGTGTGTCACCGTGCCCTGTCTAAAGATAGGTTTTTTCTGTTTTTTGTTTTGTTTTGTTTTGTTTTGGTCTTTCTGAAGCAGGGTCTCCCTGTAAGCCCCAGCTGTCCTGGAACTCACTATGTAGACCAGGCTGGCCTTACACTCACAGAGATCCGCCTGCCTCTGCCTCCCAAGTACTGGGACTACAGGCGTGTGCTACCACGCCGGGCTAAAGATATGTTTTTTTTTTATTATTATTTTCATTTTGTTATGAATGTATTGCCTGCATGTATGTAAGTGCACCCGTGTCATGCAATGCCCGCGGAGATCAGAGAAGGGTGTTGGATCCCCTGGAACTGGAGTTACAGATGGTTAATAGGCGCCTTGTGGGTGCTGGGAATTGAACCCAAGTCTTTTGCAAGAGCAGCCAATGCTCTTAACCAATGAGCTATCTCTACAGACCGAAAGTATTTTTTAATATAGACTTAAGCACAAACGTTAAGAGAGGCGCTCAGAAGAAAATACAGACATCTCAGAGTTCTTCATAGAGAGTCCTAGAAAGTAAAATGTACCCAAGTGGTTTCAGGGAGAATCAGCAATTAATTGTCTTAGTATTAGTGATATCTTTGATAGGTCTTAAGTTACAACTAAGAAGGCTGCTAATAACACCCCCTTCTCTCTTTTGATAAGAGAAGTAAGGTGGCTTTAGCGATGCCTTGGATAGTATAATCTGATAAGATGAAACAAGAGATTTATTAGTGCCTGTCTTTCCCCGTTAATGGGGTTTATGGTGAGGTTCCTGGAAGGTTGCAAATTGACTACTGGGACGGGGGAACAGCCTTAAGCAGTTGGTAATTGTGCTACTGGAATTCTTGCTTAGTAGTTCGTGAGAGGCCCCTTTTCCTTATGTCCCCCATTCAGGAGGATTTGGAGACGAAGAACCAACCTCCTTACAAGGTCAGATATGATTCGTACTTGACCCAGAACCTCCCCTTCTGGTACCCTTACTCTTTTTGGTTTTGTTTTGTTTTTCCCCCAACAGAAGATGGCTCAAGAGCAGCCTTTGTTGGCTGTGCAGGAGGCTTTGAAGACGTGTTTCCCTGCAGTGGAGGAGCAGCAGGGTCTGTGGCAGAGCACCCTGCAGGACTGCTCACCCCTCCTCTCCTCTCTCAGCAACCTGGCAGAGCAGCTGCAGGCAGTGGAGAGTCTGCGGTTTGAGGATGTGCCAGCCCTTCAGCCCTTTCCAGACTTACAGGAACGGCTGAGGCGCAAGCAGCTGGAGGCTGGCGACACTGTCCTGGACAAGCTAGGCGAGAGGCTGTAAGAGGCTTCATGGCCCATTTCTTAATGGAAAGATCTTAAACCTGGATGGCATCGCCCCATGTCAGGCTAGGCACAGCAGTTGGGAGGCTAAGTAGAAGTCACAAAATGAAGCTGGATATGGACATTCAGGAACCTAAGGTTGAAGGATTGTGAGTTTAAGGCCATCCTGCGCTACATATTGGCTTAACTTCATGCCACTTTTTTTTTTTGAGACAGGGTCTCCCTGTAGCCCCAGCTGGCCTGGAACTCAATTTGTAGACCAGGCTGGCTTTGATCACACAGAGATCTACCTGCTTCTGCCTCCCAAGTGCTGCAATTAAAAGCATGCACCACCATGCTGGGCTTATGAATTACATTTTGCAACTGAGGAAGCAGACTCAAGTTGGTTGCTCTGTTCACGTGGCTAGTGAGTGAAAAATAGAGCTCGATTCCAACAGAGCTTAGGTGCCTAACACCTAAGTTGAGCTCTTTAACCATCACTGGTCTGCTGAGTGTTGGTGACCACCCCCAGCTCTGATTTTTGTGTGATGTCTCATTTGTTCAGAGTACATTGTATTCTGTATATTTGTATAATACAACATTTTAAGTGCCCATGGAATGCCAAGCACAAGGCACTATGGATACAACAATGAGACAGATTTACCCTGTTCTCAATTGAGGGGAAGAGATAAGAAAGCCAATTAAATTATGTCATAAGATAGTGATAGGTACAACATGGACAGGAAGGAAACCTCTGGGAGAAAGTAACATCCCAAAGTAACCCATTGGAATTGAGTTAAGAGGCGGGATGAGCAGTGCCCTGTGGAGACTAGTATGGCTGGAGCAGGGGTGGTGAGAGGTAACCAGAGAGGTAAGCCAGTGCACAAAGTGATGTGTTCTTTCGATCTATGGATGTAGCTCTAGATCTGTCTCTTGTTTCTGGGTTGTTGAGGAATGAAGGCAGGAATCCACAAGAATCTCCTGGATCATCTACACCATTTCTGTACTGGTCAGTTCTTCATCTATAATAGCTGTTTAAGGACTCTGTAGGAGTCAGCATTATATATAATGCCCCAAAGGTGGGATCATACCAAATGTTCATCAAGAGCAAATAAATGAAATGTAGTAGGTCCATGTAATGGACTATTTTCTCGGCCATAAAAAGGAATTGCAATACATCCCACAATGTGGATGAACTTTGAAAACATGCTGTGGAAAAGAACAAGACACAGAAAACTATATTTCTAATGGCCAGGCATGGTGGTGCACACCTTTAATCCCAGCATTGGGGAGGCAGAGGCAGGTGATCTCTGAGAGTTCAAGGCCAGCCTGGTCTACGTAGTAAGTTCCAGGCCAGCTGGGAGCGGGAGGACTGCTACAGGGAGACCCTGTCTCAAAAACACAAAAACAAACAGAAAATATATATATATATATTTCTATGAACTGCCCAGAATTGGCAAATCTATAGGGACAAAAAATAGATGCATGGGAGGCTGGGCATAGTGGCACACATCTTTAATCCCAGTACTTGGGTATCAAAGGCAGATGGATCTCTGTGAGATTGAGGCCAGTTTGGTCTGTATAAGGAGTTCCAAGTCAGCTGAGGCTACAGGAAAACCCTGTCTCAAAAGCCGAAACAAATGAAAAAAAAATAGGTACACGGGGCTGGAGAAATGGCTCAGCAGTTAAGAGTAACATTCTTGCAGTTCCCAGCACCCACATCAGGCGGCTTACAGCTGTTTGTAACTCCAGCTCCAAGAAGAGCAAGGGTGTAGGCTTCTCAAGGAAGAGTCACAAAAATTAAGACACACCCAAGTGGATTCAGGCTTCTTAGGAGAAAGTGGCCAAGAACTCTAATTTTTAGAGCCATTTTGAATGGGAAGTTTGAGCACTTTTTTACACTCTTCCCCCCAAATAACCTCCACTGCTGTCCACATCCTGCATCTCGGGGCACACTCAATGTCTCTGATGAGTCGGTGTGACATATTCCCTGAAAATTCAGTTTGCATTGGACTCCCTTTGTTTTTGTATGTTCTGAGGGCTTGGACAAATGAGAACGACACCACTGTACTGTGTGTGCAGAGTAGTTCCATTGTAAGCTGTGTACTCTATGTGTGTGTGTGGGGGGGGACAGGGTCTTGCTATATAGCCTAGGCTGGCCTCATGTTCCTCCTGCCTTGGCCTCTCAATCTTCACTTGGGACTGCAGGTGTGGGCTGCAGTTGTATACTTTAAAAGGGTGAATTTTATGGTATATGAATTGTATCTTAGTGGGTTTTTGTTTTTGTTTTTTTTAATTAAGAGGCGGGGATGTGGCTCAGTGGAAAAATGTCTGCCTAGAATGTGTGAAGCAGTAAATTCAGTCCCCAGTACTGTAAACAGAACTATGTGACAGCTTCCATCCTAGGATGTACCTGGTATCCTTTAGCCTAGTGGCTTTCAGACTTTTTGTTCGTTTGTTGAGAAAGGGTCTCACTATGCAACCTTAACTGGTCCTGAAACTCACTTTATAGACCAGGCTGGCCTCAGTCTCACAGAGATCCACCTGCCTCTGCCTCCCAAATTCTGGGATTAAAGGTTTATGCCACCACACCCAGATGCATTTTGTGAGTTTCATTTCCATTGTTTATTGTATTTGGGTTTTGGATTGTTTTTCTGTTTTTTTAAAAAATATTTAATTATTTTTATTTTATGTGTATGAGTGTATTGCCTGCATGTATGTGAGTGCACCCGTGTCGTGCAGTGCCACAGAGATCAGAAGAGGGCTTTGGATTCCCCTGGAACTGGAGTTAAGGACATTTCGTAGCCGCCATGTGGGTGCTGGGAATCGAACCCGGGTCCTCTGCAAGAGCAATCAGTGCTCTTAACCGCTGAGCCATCTCTCCAGCCCCATGTTTTTCTGTTCGTTTCACTGTGATCATGGTCAGACATTTTTGAAATCCAGAGTTCTGGGCTAGGGAATGCTTTTGTCCTTTGGGAAGTTACAGCCTTTGTATTGGTGGTAGGTCTCTTACAGTAAGTATGAAAATAATAATAATAATAATACCATAAGCCAGGGCCTGCCAGAAGCACTTTGAACACCATTGTGTTTCCTTTTTTTGCCTATAAGGATTTTTATGTTTATGAATGTTTGCCTATGTTTATGTATGTGTACCACATGCATGCCTTGTGACCATCTGAATTTGATCCCCAGAACCTGTGGGAAGGTGGAGAACTGAATCCACAGAGTTGTTTCCTGACCTCCACACATGTGCTGTGGCATGTATGTGCCCCCTCCCATACACATACAAATTAAGTAAAAAAGTGCTAAAGAATTTGCCAAATGTGGCTGGGGTGCAGCTCAGTGGTAGATCACTTCCCTAGCATGTCTGCCTGAGTTCCAACATACTACAGAAATAAAGATGGTTGTTTCTTGCATAGATTTAACAAAAAGAGAGGGAGGATCATGAATTACAAGCCAGCCTGGGCCATAGAATTTAGCAATCTAGTTTGGCCCTGGCTCAAACTAATAGAGCCAGGTATGGTGATATACACCTGTGATCTTAGCACACAGGAGGGAGAGGCAGGATTTCAAGTTGAAGGCCATTCTCATCTACACAGTGAGTTTTGAAACCCTATCTACCCCCTCCCCTTTTGGGGGGGAATGTCTTTTTTTTTCTTTTTTTGGTCTTTTTGAGACAGGGTTTCCCTGTAGCCCCAGCTGGCCTGGAACTCACTATGTAGACCAGGCTGGCCTGGAACTCACAAAGCTCCACCTGCCTCTGCCTCCCAAGTGCTGAGAGTAAAGGCATGAGCCACCATGCCCGGCTGTTGCAGGGGGCGGTCTTTTTGAGACAGGGTCTCCCTATAGTCCCAGCTGACCTGGAACTCAATATTGTAGACCAGGCTGGCCTCAAACTCACAAGAGATCTGCCTACCTCTACCTCCCAAGTTCTGGGATCAAAGGCGTGCACTACCATGCCCGGCTTTTTGAGACCCTGTCTCAAAACAAAAAACTCTGTATGCCAATAGTGCCAGGTTTGAGGCATCTTACTGCCTACCATTCTGGAGATACTACCTAACGCCACTCTTTTCCCACAGAACTATCCTCCTCAAGGTTCGGGACACCGTCAGCAGCCATGTGGAGCATGTGTTTAAGACTTATGAGCAGCATGCGGCCATGCTTGGCATAGATGCTGTCCTGCAGCCCTCAGCTGTGAGCCCCTCTGTGGCCGACATGTTGGAGTGGCTGCAAGACATCGATAGACACTACCGAAACTCATATCCTTGGCGTGTTCCTGACTGTGCAGAGCTGTTCCAAGTAGCTTTGGATTCATGGGCCTAGAAAACTAGAGTTTAGTACTGTTCTCTTTGGTTCTTGGACTTGGATTCTTTTTGCATTTTTAAAAATAGTAACTCCTCATGATTTACTTGCTAGGCACTGCTATAGGTGCTGAGAAACAGGCATAAGAAAAGGGAAATATAGAGAGTATTGTTTGCTGTAAGTGGCATGGAGAATAAAGCAGGGAATGTAAAGTGTGGGTGGGGTTGTGATTTTATTGGGGTATCAGGGCAGGCATCATGAGGCAGAGATGTCACCAGGCAGCAAGCCCTTTTATCTGCTGAGTCATCTTGCCAGCTCCTGACATGGCTCTTTGGTTGGCTTGCAACAGAGTCTCCCTGTAGCCCCAGTTGTCCTGGAACTTGATATATAGACCAGGCTGGCCATAATCTTATAGAGATCTGCCTGCTTTTGCCTCCCGAGTGCTGGGACCAAAGGCATGTGCCACCACTCCTAGCCTGACATGGCCTTTTAATCCCACATAGCCTTGCTCAGGCTCCATATTGCCATAGTGCTAGCTTTCTGTCTGTAAGCTGACTGCAGTTAAGGAGCATAGCCAATCATCCTTGAGTCTAATTTGATCAGCTAGGGATTGTCCGCAGCTTCTGTTGCTGGTGGGATAAGGCTCAGAGTTCCTGCCTTGGTCCTCTATGCTGTCTCTGTTCTGGCTAAAGCTTCCGTTCTACCACTTTCCTGCTGTTCCTGCCATGTCAGGACACTAGGAAGTCAGCTTTCTAGTCCAACTCAAGCTTCCCCACTCCTCATTGGGCTTCTGCCAATGAGCTGTCCCTGCCTTCCTCTGATATGGTTCTGTTGCTCCTTTGAACCACCACTGGGTTGTCTTTCATGTCACTTTGTTCCTTTTTGGTGTCTAGCTCCGTCCTCACCATGGTGAGGTCCTGAGTCGCAGGTGAGTGACATGAGTCCTCTTTCCTGGTAGCATCAAGTGTGCTGGTAGAGGTGCTCAGAGATCCTTGTGGCACAGGGAACCCTGCCTACCTGCGTCAAGGTGGAGCAATGGCTGCACTTTAACTTTAACTCCCTATACTTCTCCCCAGCAGATTGCATTTTCTTTCAGATCAGTCCTTAACTTCTGGGAAGGTACCTGAAGAGAAAGTACCTCCTCTCCTCCATCCACTGGGGCGACTTGGCCAGCATCCAAGCACTGCCCAAGGCCTGGGACCAGATTTCAGAGGAGGAGCACCAAGACCTTGTGCAAGGTGCCTGTAGTTCCTGTGCCTTCTTTCCCGGGGGCTTGCTGTGGACGTGTTAGAGAGCTGCCCCTGCAGTGCTGGTTTATCTTTCTAAGCCTGATGTTTTGTATTCTCTCTTCCCGTTCCAGATATCCTGTTGAATGTTTCCTTTTTCCTGGAGGAGCGAGGAGGCTGCACAGTGTCTGACCTGGAGCAGCACAGCTAAGGACTGACTGTCACCACTCTGTTATCTCTGAGGAGGCAGCAGCACTGTACCTGACATACCTGAATGTCAATGCCTGGAACCTCAGGCCTGGAGGGTTGAGTGGATGCCCTGGGACTTCTCCATAGTAGGTCATGGCCAAGGGCGCATGGGCTCTGCTCTTGTGATTCTGGGAAGTGGATGGAGACAGAGAGAAAACAGGAAAGGTAGCACTGATAAGCATAGTGCCATCTCCGTCAATAGGCCCCAAGTGATAGGAAGGACAGGACAGGAGGGAAGGGGCCGTAACCGCCTCTGCATCACATGAAGCACCTAGTCTGTCTGCCTCAGGTCCTGACTCTCTGTCTGGCTCCTTGAAACGAGTAGACCTGGGACTGCAGGGTGGTGGCAGTGTGTGTTTGGCACACATAAGGCCATGGTTCATTCCTCATCACACACAAAAGCCAGGGACGAAAGGAGAGCATTTAAAATGTTTACTCCATCACACTGTTGCATCAAACCAAAGTCCATTTCCAGAGCAGGCCACCAGGGGGCAATGGTGCAACACAAACAGTTCTGGATGCTTTGTCCTTGAGAGGTTCCCTGTTTCTCTTAGCATCTGAGAGGAAGTAACTATGAATAATGAGACCCCGCCCTCCCAAAGGACAAGGCTCAGACTCCCGTGGCCTTGCATTGGCCACATTCTTCCAAGCTTGGAGTGGAGTTTGTCCTGGGTGTGAGAACTCTCACTGTGATTGTTAGCTTTGTCCACTTGACACAATGTAGAGTCATCTGGGAAGGAGTCACAGTAAAGAATTTTCTAGATTTGGTTGGCCTGTGGGCAGGCCTATGAGAGTTTCTCAGTTGGGCCCATCCTGAATGTGGACAGCACCATCTTGTGGGCTGGGCCTGACTGGCTGTATAGGAGCGAGTCAGCCAAGCATCAGCTTTCGTGTATTAATCCATTGCTCTTACTGTTGATTGTGGATGTCGTGAGTCCAGCTGCTGTCACATTCCTGCTGCCTGGACTGTCCCACAGTGACGGACTGTATCCTGGAATCCTGAGTTAATAAATCCTTTCTCCCTTAGGTAGCTTTTGTCAGGGTATTTAATCACAGCAACAGAAAAGACACTAAGACACCAGCCCTGAGTCAGTGGTCAGAGCAGGTGCTTGAGGCCTTGCCATCTGTACAGTGGCCACAAAGCTTCAGAGCCCCGGCTTCCCACATGTCACCACATAAGGGACTTAATGCAGAGAATGGTTTCAAATGAAAGTGACTTTGCTTTTTCTTACTACTTTTTTAGGCAGGGTCTCACTATGTAGCCCTGACTGACCTGGAACTCTGTATAAACCAGGCTGGCATCCAATTCAAGACATCTGCCTGCCTCTGCCTCTACATCTTGAGATTAAAGGTACATGCCACCACATCAGCTCTTACTACATTTATTTTTATTTATTTATTTTTTTGTCTTTTTGAGACAGGGTCTCCCAGTAGCCCCAGCTGGCCTGGAACTTGCTACGTAGACCAGGCTACCCTCGAACTCACAGAGATCTGCCTGCCTCTGCCTCCTGAGTGCTGGTATTAAAGGTGTGTGCCATCACACCGGGCTCCTTCACAGACTCTTAAAAAGATTCATATATTGATACAAACTGATCTTTTAAAAGCTCTGCATATAGCATGGCCATCTTTCATATCTGTAAACTTTAGTACACTATATGCCATATATACTGTATGCCATTTGGTGTTTGTATTAATAGCTTTTTAAAATGTGTGTGTGTTTTGCCTGCATATATGTAAGTGTACCATGTGTGCAATGCCTGTGGAGGCTAGAGGAGGGTGTCGAATCCCCTGGAACTGGAGTTATAATTTTTAGTTACCATGTGGATGCTGGAAACCAAACCTTGATTCTCTGCAAGAGCAGTGGGTGCTCTAAACTGATGACCCATCTCTCCAGCCAGCTTTTGTTTTTTGGGGTTTTTTTTGTTTGTTTGTTTGGTTTTTTTTTTGGCCTTTTTGAGACAGGGTCTCCCTGTAGCCCCAGCTGGCCTGGAACTCACTATGTAGACCAGGCTGGCTTCTGCCTCCCAAGTGCTGGGATTAAAGGTGTGTGCCACCGCCAGACAAGCTTTTGTTTTTTAATACCTGTGTGTTTGCATGTATGTCTATATATGCATGTGGAGATGAGAGGACAGCTTAGGGTGTCATTGTCAGGAGTGTAGTCCACCTCCTTTCAGACAGGGTCTCATTGGCCTAGAACTTGCCAATTAAATTACACTGGCTGGCCAGTGAGCCCTAGGGACCCTCAGCCCAGCTTCCCCAGCACTGGGTGACAAGCTTGCCACAATAACCAGCATTTTATGCCTATGCTGGGAATCTAACTCAGGTCTTCATGCTTGCAAGGCAGGGACTTTACCAACTGAGCTGTCTCCTCAGTCCTGTTGGTTGGTTTATTGGTCTCATGTAGCCCAGCCTGGCCAGAAACTCACTATGCACCTGAAGATGACCTTGAATTCTCATCTTCCTGCCTCTGCCTCCTGAGTGCTGGCATTACATGAACCACGCCTGGTGTGGAATTATTATATTTTACATTTTATTTTATTAAAACAATTTTATATTTATTTGGCGGTGGGGCGGTGGGAGACAGGGACACATGTGGACACGTGGGTCCCAGGGATTGAAAGACTGTCAGGCTTGGCAGCAAATGCCTTTACCTGCTGAGCCATCTGGCCAGCCTGTTTTTTGTCTTTATATTCGTGTGTGTATATGATGTACAGTTTTCCAGGTCTTCATGTTTTTAGTCTATAAAGCTATTCTGATTGTGATATTTTGCATGTAAATGAAAGTCTACAAAGCAGGGTGTATTCCAGGAACTTTAAAAAAACTATCATATAGGCCGGGTGTGGTGGTGCATGCCTTTAATCCCTTGGGAGGCAGAGGCAGGTGGATCTTTGTGAGTTCAAGGCCAGCCTTGTCTACATAGTGAGTTCCAGGATAGCTGGGGCTACAGGGAGATCTTGTCTCAAAAAGACAAAAACAAACAAACAAACAAACAAAAAACTATCATGTATAATTATTACAAATGAAACAACTCAGCTGGGTGTGGTGCATTCTGGAGGCTGAGGCAGGTGGATCTCTCTGAGTTCCAGGCCAGCTGGGATTACAGGGAGACCCTGTCTCAAAAACCAACAAAATAAAACAACTCAGAGGAAGACATTTAGGTATCAAGTTTTTATTATTTTCCTTTTTTCCCCCCTCTCTCAGCATTGGGAAGTGAATCCAGGGCCTTGCTTATGCTAGGTAAATGCTCTACCACTGAGCTATACCAGCCTTTTTTTTTCGTTTTTCACCAAAGTCTCACTATGTAGCCCAGGCTAGCCTCATAGTCCTCCTGTTTCAACCTCCCAAATGCCAGGTTACAGATATGTGCTACCATGCTCACCATGGGTCCTGAGTTTTATGAAGGGCTCCCAGGACAGAGGTGGAAGAAAGCCATTGGAAGGTTTATAGTCCAGGCAGTTATAAACCAGTGTTTCTCAAGCCTAAATGTGCATATAAACCTAGTATCTTGTTAAGCTTTAGAATCTTGCTTGCCCTGTAGATCTTAGAGGGCCCAGTCTTTGTTTCTAATGAGGTCCCAGGTAGTGTTAATGCTGATGGTCTAGGAATCAAATTACAGAGTTGTGGAGATTCAGATAGTAATAAAGTAATAGAAGAGTTATAGTTGAGGTCAAAAGCATTGTGGGAAAAAAGGCACTGACTAACAACTGTGGAACTACTTGATAGTGACAGTGATATCTGAGTTAGCCTTGGAAGAATTTAACTTAGGACTGGAAGAGGGAGAGGGGAGCAAGCATTCCGTGCTCTGGCACAGTCTGGGCAAAGGCAGCGTTAGCTTGACGGTGAGAACTTACTGAAAGTTTGCTGTTACTCCCAGAGCTCGGCACACTAAGAAAGGTCAGAATGGTGAGTAGGGTTCGTGGAAGGTTGGAGTGGCAAGAGCCATCTGAGGGGCAGCCTGGGCCAGAGGGGCCAAGAGTCTTGAACCTTTTTGCTCAAGAACTTAGATTTTAGTCATAATGAAACCTATCATTTTGTACACTAAACAATTAGATACTGGTTTTTTTTGTTTGTTTGTTTTTTAATTGTATTTTGAGGCTGGAGGAATGGCTCAGCCAGTGAAGTACTTAGCCATACATGCATGAGGACCTGAGTTTGATCCTCAGTACCCATGTAAAATCCAGGTATAGTGAGGTGTGCCTGTAATCTCAGCGCTGGGGAGGTGAAGGCAAGGAGGAACCTCAGGGTTTGCTGCCAGCCAGGACAGCAGAACTGGTGAGCTCCAGGTTCAGTGAGAGACCCTGCCTCAAAAACTAAGGTGGCCTGTCATAGAAGATACCCATCTACCTCTGGCCTACACACACATGCACATATCTTTGAATACACATATACCACATGCACAAAAAGTTTGTATTTTGTTTGTATATGTGTGCATGCATGTGTAATTGCTTATTAAATAACACTTCAGCCAATGAAGGACCCTGTCTCTAAGGGTGGCCCCTAAGATACATTGCTAGTGACTTCCTAGGCATCTTTGTATAAATACACTCTGAAGGTTTGAACAACAAAATCACTAATGATGCATTTCTTGGAATGTGTCCCCATTATTAAATGACAATTGTAAATGTCTTGTGTTTGCATAATAAAACTTAAGCTTCCCACATTGAAACAAATAATGACTAAAAGGAAAATATGTTGATGGGGTTTAGTAATAACTTATTTACATATAATTGTTTTCATTTTCTTCTATTGAAAATGCCATTTTGTTTTTTTTTTAACTTTTAAAAAATTTTATTTTTATTTTATGTGTATGCCTGTATTGCCTGCGTGTAGGTAAGTGCACCCCTGTCTTGCAATGCCCAGGGAGGTCAGAAGACACTGTCGGATCCCCTGGGACTGGAGTTAGCTGCCATGTGGGTGCTGGGATTCGAACCCTGGTCTTCTGTAAGAACAACCAGTGTTCTTAACTGCTGAGCCATCTCTCCAGCCCCTTTAATTGTTCTTTTTAAATTGAAAGTTTGATCGACTTGTTGAGTAAGATACAGGTTGTATAAACGTAAAAAGGTACAGAGGCAAATGCAGTGAAAATTCTCCTCCCTCATTTGCCCAGTTCCCTTCTCTGCAAGCAGCCAGTGTGAAGTGCTTCTAGTGCACCCTGTGTGGCGGGGATCTTCTAGGGTGGCCCCTGGTGTCCCCACCTCTAACACTTAATACCCTTTGGTACTCCCTACCCTTCCATGTGTGCAGATTGACTTCTAATGACTAGAATGGAGAAATTACTTCCTGGAAATAGGTTGTAGGACAGCACCACTTCATCTTGGATGCGGCCTCTCAGTCTCACATCACCCACCTTGGGGGAAGTCAGCTGGGATGCTATGAGGTCACCCTGTAGAGAGACACATGTGAGAGGTCTGTGCCTGCCAATACCATGTGAGGGAGCTTGGAAACATCCTCCCACCCCCACAGAAGTTGAACCTTTAGATGGGTCCACAACCCCAAATGACAGTCTGACCACAGCCTCATGGGGACCTGAGCAGCAGACACCAGCAAAGCTGTGTTTGCACTGCTGACGCATGCAAGGGGAAGACTTTAAATCATTACACTTAAATAACTTTTCCCTTAGGGCAACAGATAGCTAACGTAGTGAAAAAAATAGTTCTGTGTCTTTTCATTTTAGTGAGTGTAGTAACATCATACTACATACCCAGTTTGACCCTTTTCCCCCCGCTTAACTGTACCTTGGGGTTCATTCTGTATAATTACATAGCTTCCTTACATTTTTCTTTTTTGGTCCTTTTTGACATAGGGTCTCCCTGTAGCCCCAGCTGGCCTGGGACTCACTAGGTAGACCAGGCTGGCCTTGAACTCTCAGAGATCTGCCTGCTTCTGTCTTCCGAGTGCTGGAATTAAAGGTGTGTGCCACCATGCCCAACTCCTTATATTTTTCTTGAAGTTAATGGAGGCTAAGGAGATGGGTAGCTTGTGAAATGCCTGCTGTACAAACATGAGGA